CCACAGGCCTGGGCACTCATCTGTCCCTTTCATCTTAATAAAACTCTTGTTAGAGGATTCTGTCGTGTTTCGTGATATTTCCTCACAGGGTAAGAGCGCCGCGAAATAACTAACAATACAGGCTTTTGGAGCTGATGGATAAGGAAATTTTAAGACATGGACAAGGGTATGCTGGTGCTCAAGTGTAAATTAGGAATGAACTCATAAAATCTGTGTGGTAACATGAGGATAATAGAGGGTCTCTCCCCGTCTCACCTAGAGGGGACAAAGAGCCTAAACTATCAATCAGTCCTGATCCATTTATGGGTGTCTCAATGACCTTTCTCCCTGACAGATAGGATTCGTGAGGAAGGTCTCAAAACAGTATGCGGCCTTGCGATTGCTGAGGGAAGAGAATGGCTGGTGGTGACTAGAGAGTGCTCAGTGGCTTCGCCATCTTCTGGCGTGTGTGGGAGTTTAACAACAGAAGTCCTCTGTGCTCTTTGGTTTTATTTCCGTACGTCCCACTGGGATAGGAGAACCAAGGCTGAACGGGGAGGAGGACTTACCGAGGCAATCGTTGTTGTGAGTGAGCTCAAACCCTGGGTAGCACAGGCAGTTGTAGGAGCCGACAGTATTCTTACAGGTCCCGTTTCCACACGGATGCCGCTCACACTCATCCACATCTACCAAGAAGAACTCAACTGTTATCTAGAACCAGACAGGCACCTTTAACGTTTCCTCGCTGTCACTACATCATTAATCCGACTCTTCCCGGGGTAGCGGTAGGGACCCATGTTTATTTGAGGAAGTCAAGAATGTGAAAAAAAGGGAACAAACCCAAACTGCAAACGTCCAAGAGAGAGAACAGTTTAACTTACTGGTCGATACAGTTCTCAGAAGCAATGGGTAGAAAAGCCATTGGCAACGAGCAGGCTTGCTTATCAATGTTAAAGCATTATTAACACTTGTTCAAGAATTTATAAATCTTAATTTCATAACAAAAACTTTAGTCCCTTGAATGAAGTAATGAAATCCAAATAGGGGCTTACTTAGTTACTTAGTCATGAGCATTCCAAAAATCCTGGTGAGAATAGTTAGCAAGGTCATCTGTGACAGGGGACAGTCACAGGAACGGACACAGCTCCTTAGGAGAACTATGTCCAAGAGGTCTGAGGCTCAGATCTGACTGTATCATGGAGGAACTGTTAATATTGGGACATATATTTTCCCATATGAATTTCTGAGTCATAAATATCACAGGTTTTTTTTTTTTTGTGGCAGATTATACTCTCTGAGAGAATATAAAGAGAGGCCCCTTTGTCTCCTGTAAGCCAACCTTCCCAGAAAGTCCATGCACCTGGGGCCAGAACCTGTGATATACTTTGCATAAACACTAGAGATTTTTTTTCTTGTCATTCTGGGGCAGCCCAGGGTGGGAAGGTGCTCTCAAGGTGCATTGGGTAAACTGAGGCTTTTCCCATATGCTCCTTGTTGCACAGATATTCCATGAAGGGGACAATTTTACACTATTGAAAGCTGATTTTAACACTCCACTAGCAGTTATCTTGAATCCCTATAGAGTGGGTGCACAAAAAATCCCCTGGCTTTTCTACACAGAGAACATGCTACTTACAAATAACCACGTTTTAAATTTAGTTTTCCTCCTTCAAATATGAAGCACAGAGAGGAACTTTGGCAGAGACACAGCCCTCTGCTGACATCAGAGTTAAGGCATTCGGTGCAGTTCCAGCCTCAAGGCATCCTGCCCACCTGCCTTTGCAAACATATTAACCAACACTCTCATCAATTAACCAGCCATTATGGTGGTTACTGGGAAATTTTAAAGACTCTGCTTATATTCACGTCTGCAATTATTTTAAGAGCTAAAGCTTAAATGATGCCATTAAACCCCAAGCTACAGTTTGCATAAAAGGATGCATATTTGCATATGTGTTTGTTGTTAATATTGTCATCCTTTCTACTCCTTTGCATTTCAAAGTGCATTGTGTGGGTAAATGCCATCTAGCCCTGAGTTCGTCTGAATGAACGTCATGCCACATGAACTTCTGGAGCGAAACGTTGAGAATCACTGGGCAGAATAACCTACTATGGTACGTCCCTGCTTGCAACTTTTACCCCAAAGCCTTAGGCCGTTCAGCATGGCAGAGACGTGGTAGCTGCCCTGAGAATCACTGTCCTTAAGACCCGACCTCCTGTCACTCCCCGGATTGGAATATCCTTCTTACCCATGCACATGGTCTGGTCCTGAGAAGCCTTAAAGCCATTGTTGCAGATGCACTGGTAACTCCCTTGCAAATCAACACACAGGCCATGACTGCACACATTAGGAATTTCTAAACATTCATTGCGATCTACAATAGAAAAAGCAAAACAAAATGAAAGAAAAAGACACATGTTATACATATCTGATGTTTATTAAGATTCCTCCATTTTTTCACAGATGCACTTCTCTAACCTGCTATTAATTATTATAGACAGGCTGAGAACGAACCAGAAGAACAGCTGAATCAAAATATGCAGAGCCTTTCAAGTGCCCAAGGCTCTCTTTTCAGTCATGCAATTTTTTTTTTTTTTTTTTTTTTTTTGTAGACTGACTGGGACCTCAAGGATTGTTATTTCAGACCAAGAGAAGTCCACCAAAGGAACACCGTTTCTCAACAGAATCATCTGAAAGTTACGGTGGAAGTGTTTCAGCATGATGACACAGATTGAGTTACACAGTCTTTCTAGAATCATCCTTAAAGTATTCTGTGGTGAGAAAGGAAGGAACCCCTCGAGAACAGGGAACCCAGGGACTGCTGTGCTGGTGACTGCTAGCCCCTTGCTTACCTACACAGGCCCCGTTGGGAGAGAGTTTGAAGCCAGCGGCACACTCGCAGCGGTAGCTGCCAGGGCTGTTGATGCAGTCTGCGTTGCGCTGGCAGAGGTTGTCACCGTTGCTGCACTCGTCGATGTCTGGAAAGGCAAAGGCAATGGGGTCCAGGTAAACAAGTCTTTTCACTACTCCTCTGGGATCAGATTCAGTCTACCAACGTCCACACTCAACTCTTAACCGCTGCCGAAGAGGTGGTACAAAAACCAGAGGCCCACCTAAAAGCCACTTAGGCAGAGACAGCAAAGTCTCTAGAGGACGGACACAGGAGTCCCAGGTTACCTTCGCAGACCAAGAGCAGGTCGTTGTAGCTGAAGCCTGTGGGGCATTCGCAGCGGAAACTGCCGATCTGGTTAATGCACACACCGTTTGCACAGATGCCTGGAATCTCTTTGCATTCGTCGATGTCTGAAATCGAATGGATTTGGTAAAATGCATGTGTTTCCACTAAACATATTTACCATCTTACCTGAAAACAATGCTATGGGTAGCGTGAAGTAAAAAGACGTACTCTCTGTTCAAGTCAGACGCAAACTGGCATGAATGTTCTTATAGCTTATGAAGAACTAGAGACCGCAGTTCCAGTTTAGAGACCGTTAGTTCCTCTAAAGAGCTTTGGAAAGATGGAGGTGGATGGCAAAACCAAACACAGAAAGTGATTTTATGTGGTAATAAATCAAGGGCATCTCTTAAGGAATCAAGACCCACCCACCAGTTGTGTCAGGTGACCCCAACAGCTGCCATTCATCGGAGAAAGCTATGTTCCCTTAAGTTAATGTATTTTGTTACACACACACACACACACACACACACACACACACACACACACACACACGTAGATTCCTTCATAGAGACTTAAAATTATATTGCTTAAACTAGGAAGGAAAAAATAGAGTTCACAACTGAAATTCCACTCAGAAGGAAGCAATTAATCTGAAAAGGAGTACATGCATAATGAGATCAAATGAAAGGGATGATATTAAAATATACAACAAAATCCTTAAAATACAGTAACTAGCAGTTAAAATAAGATGAAGGGGGGGCAGAGAGAGGGGTGGTTCAGTGGGTTAGTGCTTGCCATGTGAGCAGAAGGACCCGAGTTCAGGTCCCTAACGTCCACATAAAAGTTGGACACAGTGGCATGCATCTGTAACCCCAGGGCTGAGAGGGGAGGGATCAGAGATGAGTGGATCCCTGGGGCTCCTGGCCAGCTTGCTTAGCTGAGTAGGAGACCTTTAGATTCAGTGAGAGAGCCTGTCTCAGGAAATAATGTGGAAAGTGTTGAGGGAAGACCTCAGGTATCAATCTCTGGCCTTTAGAAATACTGTCACACAAATGCATATGCACCCACACAAACACATCTGAGGCAATCCACCCCCACAAACACAAAATAAGGTTTAGACATGTAAGACAATATGCATGGAAAGAGAAATTTGAATTTTTTGCATGGTATGCATGGAATTTGATTGTCAAGTAATCATCATAATTAAATTGCTAGGCAATTTATGATGAAATATAATACTATCATTAACACTTGATCATAGTTTGCAAGCATGGTTTCTTGATTAATTAATTAACTAATCACATGAGCCTGGAATCCAGATTATTAGATTTTGTGTTACTGTTACATTGTGAGACACTTGCGTATAAACTGTGACATATAAATGCATGTGTTTACATATGTATGTGTGCATTCACAAATATAATGGGAACAAACTCACCAACGGCTTTCCCTGTGTGGATGTCAAAGGTGAATCCGGGAATATTTCCACATATAGTTTTAAAGTCAGCTTTAAAACAGAAACAAAGGCAGGCACTCTTAACATTCTCAGACACATTCAAATTAACTTTACACCATAATTTTCATACCATGATTATACCATAATTTATACCATCATTTTCAGCAAAAAGAGCATTTTCATAATATTCACAACCAGTCTTTTAAATTGTAATTGTATACATTTGATAATAACGTCTGCTTCTGCAAACAATCTGGGCATCCTCTATCATTGCCATCTCTGTCATCAACTTTTCATTGACCTGATAGCAGGAGAAGGTAAGCAAAGTACGAAAGAAGACAAAATTTCTTTGGCAATTAAATTATTTCCCCCTTGTGATACAAAGGGTGTTAATAATGGTTCAATTCGGGCTCCTTAGGGGGCTCAGCTGTGGAAGTTCTCATGGAGTAAGCCTGACACCTGAGCTGGATCCCTGGAGTCCTCATCCAAGTGTGAGGAGAGAACCAACTTCACAGAGCTGTCCTCTGACCTACACACACACACACACACACACACACACACACACACACAATAATAAGTAGAAAATTGAAATTGTAACAAAAATATCCAATTGATAAAGATTGAGGATTGAGAAACTGAATTTAAAGAGGCCACGATTGCACAAGGCACAGACGTGCAGAGAGGTTGTGCAGGGGAGACAAGGGCTAGAGAGGTGGCCCAAGAGTGAGGCCCGAGTTTTGTTCCGTTTTTTTTTTTGTTTGTCTGTTTTTTTTTCTTAAATGGTGTACCTGTTGGGCAGTGAAATCTGAGAAATAAATTAGAGACTACGAGGGCTCTTTCCTATGACTCACCAAACCAACAGAAATGTAAAGAAACACCAATTTGTCAGAGCAAAGTGTTTTGGATGGCGGTCGTGACGCAAGTGTGTGTGACTGAGACTATAGTGGTAAAATGCATGTGGCATGCGACTCTCGGTGACATCAGTGTGAGGGTTTTGTAGTTTTCTTCCATCAGTAAACACAGAGTTTTCCATTCATTGTTTTCTAATAGCTTGGTCACCTTCAGATATGCATCTTTATTTATCTCTCTCTCTCTCATCCATCCACCCATCGATCCATTCACCTACCTATCATCATCCATCTACCCATCCATCCATCTACCTACCTATCTACTCACCCACCCATCCATCCACCTACCCATTTAATCTATCTATCTATCTATCTATCTATCTATCTATCTATCTATCTATCTATCTATCTACCTACCTACCTATCATCTATCTAACTACCTAACTACCTACTTACCTTCCTACCCACCCATTTATGTCTTCCTATCTGTCTCTAGCTGTCGTCACTCATCTTAGTTCATCAGAAAGCATGACAGCCACAGGGAGTAGCCCCTACCGCTCTTGATTATCCCATTTCCCAGAGAAGGCATCAATAGAGAGTGGCGGCAAAGCCTCTGCTCGGGTCACACAAGTGACAGGGCTTTGATATACATATAGATCTGCCTCAAAAATGTCTTCTCGGAGAAAACGACATTTATTTTCTCAAACCAGTAATCTTCAGCTTTTACTTTTGGAGCTTTATAATGGAGACGGGTGAGAAATGTCTTCACATCATCTTTATTTACGGAGCGCAACCGGGGTAAGGGAAGGCTAGACGAACCCACCTGAAAGCCGTTGCGATATGGGTCAGAGACGCCCCTGCCCAGCTCACCCTTTGAACACTTGGCCTCTGGCTTTTTAACCGAGGTTGCAGTGTTTGAGGCTGATGGAGCATTCAGCGGCTGGGCATGCCTGGTGCAATCAGTCTGGAAGGGTTGGTCTTTAAAGGTCACATCTGCTTCTGCCTCCTGCCTGCGTCCCCTGCCTCCTGGTCTACCCTCGGTGAACAAGCTGGGACCTCAAGTCCCCGCTACCCTGGACCAAACTGCTCCACTCAACTTTCCATGCCGTGATGGGTCCTGACTTTTGGAACACAGGAGACAAAATACATCTGTCGTCCCCGAGACGGGTCCGTCAGGTGTTCGTCACATGATGAGGAAAGTGACACACTGCTGGATTTGAGTCACTGAAAAAAGGCCCTGTACCACCTGTCCACACCTCCTCCCTGAATTCATTTTAGCATCCTCTTAAAAAAATGTTTGAACGCGTGCCGAGTCAGTATTTGGTAACCAATGCACATCCTGCCTCCTATTGGCTCTCTCAGGTCAGCTTTCAGGATCTGGAACTATGAAAAATTTTTATTCTCTAGGCCTCGTAGGGTCTAGACGAAGAATAATTTAAAGACAAACAGTTGCTATTCTTGTCTCTGTGAGGTTTCTTTTTTTCTTTTTTTTTTCCTTTCAATGGAATTTGCACTTGTGAAAAATCCTTCCATGAAAGGCTAGAGACATGTTGTTCTGGGTCCCATTCCCAGCATGCACGTGGCACATCACAACCATCTATAATTCCCAATTCCTGGCGATTCGGTGCCCTCCTCTGGCCTCTGCAGGCACCAGGCACAGAAACACACAAGGGAAAACATCTGTACCCATACAATAATAACATAATTTAAGATGTATTGTCCTGTAAAGGTCCCTTCTGTGTTGTGGGAGGAGCTACACAAGGAACACATTAACAAGCTGGTTTCTGCAGTCTTTTCATGAAATTCTTTTTTAAACTTACTTTTCAAGCAACGTTTCTTCAGCAAATACTTTTTTAAACCTATTTTTCAAGATGTAATTTAAGCAATTATTACTGAAGTTGCTAGCTTTTAAGTTACATTACCAAAATACTACACCTTCTACGATGAACCCAGTGACAAACAGTAGTTGCTCAATAAATTCACTTGATGAATAAATAAATGGCCAGTCTTATTTGATGGTGGTTGCATGTAGACCAATGCTATAAATTCTAGCAACGGTGCTCGCCTCCTTTTGAGATCTGGAGTTTATGTGGCTTATGTCTCAAGAGCTGGTGTTTGGCTCAGGTCGTTTGGGACATGAAGCCATAGCATGCATGCTTTGGGGATCTCTGGAACTGAGCCCCCCGGGCTATAGTCACACACACTGTGACTCTGTGTCAGACAAAGCCTTGAGCGGAGCGTGAATTGTGTTACCTACCTGTTCCTGGCGTAGGGCACGGCTCACAAGGTTTGTTCCAGGCTTTGCCGACATTGTATGTACAGCAGCACATCCTCTTGGTCACGTTAAAAGGTAACTCGTTTTCACAAGTGGTCCCATTATAGCTTCGGTAGCAAAAGCTTTTCCTCATGTCTACATGGAGAGAAATGGGTCAGCTGGGCACCCGGAGCAGTGAGATCAGGGTGCTTGGTCAGAGGACTTTCCTGAGGTGATACAACTCTGGAAAAGGTCTGTCTTGTTCAGCTATCTTAACTCTCTGAACTGCTCCATCATTTCCAGATGGACAGCCTCTGCAAGGCGTTTATGGGCAAATGAGCATGCATTTCTTCTTCTACTAAACTATTCATTTAATTAACAACATTAATTTAATTGAAAAAATAATTAAGTATTGAAATTTAAATATCCCCTTATCTATACAAAGTGCATTTTATATACATGGAGAATCAAAATTATCTAAGATCTGTAACTCCAATGCCCCCCCCCCTTTTTTTAAACCTCAGATTTACAGACTATGTAACCATGTGGTGGAAGATTAAAAGCTTGAGGGACAGCAGCAGTTCATAGGACTCTGACACACTTCCTCACTCATAACGATTACTCATTCACTAAATTACATTTCCGGAGGCTCTGAACAGTAAGTAATTCTGAGAACAGAGGTGTCCTGGCTGCAATGCCAGCAACCTGGACTCCAGCAGTGCATCTCGGCGATGGCTACTGACCCATGCAGTTGTGCCCGCCGTTGACTTGCATGTACTCTGGTGGGCAGATGCAAGTGTAATTCCCCAGGGTGTTGTAGCAGGTGCCAGGTCCACACACGCCGGGGTGGGCAAAACATTCGTCAATATCTAGAGGAGGTGAGAATGTCCAGGAGTTAGGTTGGCTCTATGAGTGTATATAGTATAGTTTACTGAACAGACGGCAGGTGATTCCCTAATTCCGTGTTTATAAGATTCAGAAATAAAAAATACCCTCAAAGGATGTGTTTACATTTACACGCCACAAGAACGTATTTCTTAAAAACAATAACAAAAGATAAAAAGCTCCCAATCCTAAAAATTCTGAACTATATGTAAAAAAACCACCTCATGCCTGTATACATTTGGGGAAATTCACATTCCTCAAGAGGAATTTCTTTGAAGTCTGCCTTTTCCTATGTCATTAAAATTAAATTTTAACAGCAACTTTAAACTGAGTGCAGGCTATGTGATCCTCCTTTCAAATTAGAAGTCCCCTCAAAGGTTCTCAATGGAGGGTAGGTCACATTTCAGATGCCTTTGGCTAGTAAGTTCAAAACTAAAGGCTGTAATGGAATAATGTTTCACTCTTAATGTTCAGTTTTAGAAACAGTCCTTCATCTGACACACAAATGCTGAAGTTATACTGTTAGCCAGAACTTGAAGCAATAAGGACAAGGATGGACCTCGCCTCCAGAGGCAAGACGGTCCCCTAAAAATAAAATTATAACTGCCATGTGACAAAGGGGAGGGAGAAAGAATCCATACAACATTTCAACGTCTTTATATTATATCCAACGTTCAGAAATTAGTAACCAATATTGATTTGCAGTCACATTTACGTTTACAGGTTCCTACTTAAATTGATTGTCAACATGTACATGTAACTAACTTCATATTCAAAATTCCATTTTCAATTATTCTTAACCAATCATCTTACTCTTTTTTTTTTTAAAGTAAATCATTGCCGAGGAGCTGCAAACTGAGTTCATCACTATACAAAGGAACAACACTGTTATGAAAAGATGAAAGCTATCAGTCTCAACAGAGCCCTATGGTAGGATGCAGGGCCATGAGAGGCGACACTGGCAAGGAATAGCACCAGTTTCCCTCACCTTCACAGATGCGGGTCTCCTCACTGAGGTAGTAGCCCTGTGGGCACTCACACTGGAAACTCCCAAAAGTGTTGATACAGTTCCCGCCCTGGCAGAGCCCGGGCAACTCCTGACATTCGTCAATGTCTACAAGAGGAGACAGTCCATTAACAACAAGCATCACGACCAAAGAGTCAGTATTTGCAGCTTTCAAACATGACGGCTCTTCTGGACCACAGACATCTGTGCACCTAACGGGAGGCCGGTAAGTGCTGCATTTCTTCTGACTGAGATTCTCTTGCGTTTGTTGCTGTGTGCTGAGGAGAGTAATGGAAGCAAGCTGCGTGTAATTTGTTGGGGGACAATGTAACACAAAGTTTCTCTGCATAACAACTGTACGCCAGATGCCGGCAATGGATGGCTACTCCTCAGTTAAATTGTTGCATGCGGATGGATACTGCTCAGTTAAATTGTTGCATGCAGATGACTACTTCTGAGTTAAATTGTTGCATGCGTATGGATACTTCTCAGTTAAATTGTTGCATGCAGATGGATACTTCTCAGTTAAATTGTTGCATGCAGATGGATACTTATCAGTTAAATTGTTGCATGCGGATGGATACTTCTCAGCTAAATTGTTGCAGGCGGATGGATACTTCTCAGTTAAATTGTTGCTTCCCATGTGTGACAGACTGTCTACCTGCAATTGCACCCTAGAATCCTGCTGGCACAGCTTCACACTGACTTTTGTACCCGCTTCCCTCTAAACTAGGCCATTTACCTTATTAAAAATGACATGACAACTAGGGATGAACTCACCCTCTAAGATGATCGTGATGGGGTTCGGTCTAAAGCCTTCACCTCCAGGACACAGGGTATAATATTCAGCTGGGGGTGGGGGGAGGAAAACAAAGTTTGACTCTTGGATCGCAGTGGTAAAAACAATCAGCAAACATTCAGCAACTGCCAAACTCAAATCCTCAGGGGATGTCCACATGTCCTTTCAAATGCATGTGCAATAATGTATATCACATTTTACTCCCAAATATCATTACTTCATCAATGACAAGGCAGTGGGATAACAAAAAAACTTTTTTTGTTGTTTTTATTTTAAAGAAAACACTTCCTTTTAGATAATTCATATCACAAATGACTTGGCAAGTCAATAAAAAAAACATCAGGAGTCTATGACACAAAGGCTTGGGTTTTGAGCATATCAGAACACATGTTTCCATTTAAAGTGCCCTGTGACTGACTTCAGGATACACTCCACCTATGGGCTTGAACTAACAACCTCCAAGAAGACCCGGGAGTGGTCTTCATGTGTGATACCATGGAGAATTGACATTATCACCATTTAGATAAAAAAAAATTTTTTTTAGAGAAACATAATGAAAAAAAATAGGAAGAAAGGAACTGAAATTCCTTTTCTATAAAACACTCTTGGCAGATTTCAGCAAAACCACTGACAACAGTCCAAAGCCCTCCAACCCGCCCCCCTCTCCAAGAATACAATAGCAACTTGTTTCTATCCTGGACTAGGAATGTTCCATTCCTCTTCTCCCGGTTCCATACTTACTGCTATTTACAGGGGGACACGTCTCGCAGGGGTTTCCCCAGGCCTTCCCCAGGGAGCAGCAGCAGGAGGAGCGACTGACGCCCACCCCGATCTCTGTGTTGCAGGACAGACTCCCATCTCCTCGAGGACCAAACTTCAAGTAACAGTTGCCCACGCGGTTGTCTGCAGAACAAGAGAAGAGCTTAAAGTGGTCCTTGCTATGGGGAGAACCCCTCAGGAAGGCGTTTGAAAGACTAAGTTCAAGATTTTGCACACTGATGTGGAGGGCACATCCTAGTCCCCTGCACAATACACTCCTTTGCTTTTAAACTTCTCAGAAGATTGAGTCAACCACAAGACATGATGAGAGATGGTGGTCACTAGAAACCATAGACCGTTTTCCATATATCCAGGGAATAAACAACACAGGGAGGCATTCCTTACTTGGGGGTACTATGGACATTTCAAATAAGGTGAACATAATAAGACTGGGTAGAACTAATCTGCATCTTGAGTTTGTAAAGACGTGGAAACATACCTAGGAGAAGTTAACTAAGCTTGGGACATGTTAACAGTCTCATTCTGCTCCTTTCATCTGCATCCCCCAAAGGCTTGACTTCAATCTTCACAGCAACAATCACAGATTGTCAAAAGGTTGTCAAACTAGACTCTTCAGCCAAAGGGTCCAGTGACCGGGAAGACTGTCTCATCTCTGTAGTTACCATCTTGAACCACAGCTTTAAACAGTATTTTCTTTTTCCCTCGAGTGATCTCAAGTTCAGAATTCTCTCTCACCTTTCTTCTGAGTTCTCAACCTTTCTGCTTATTTTTTCCTCAACTATTATTAGTTATTTCCAAGTTAACACTTCCAAAAATTAAACTGGATACTCTTTGCTCCCCATACAGATCTGTTCTACTTGTCCTTGAGTCTTAGGGGTTTTCAGTCTATGGAAGTTTCCACTTTTCTCAGCTGTCCAGGCTTGCTGCCATTTCTGGTATCTTACTCTCATTCCCTTTTCACACCAGTAATAACAAGGCTTGATAACTTTATCTTCAAAATGTATCTGGCAACTTATGTCACTGATGCCTTTCCCCCTTGGTCTGAATTCCAGACACCAGCATCTTCTTTAACCTAGACTACTACGATGGCCTCCTAACTCATCTCCTAGCTTCTATCCTCAGTCCAGGTCCAGTCTGTCTTGGCCTTTGGAGCCAGAGTAATCCTTCCGAAGAACTGATTTAGGCCAGGTCACCCCTAAGAGGTCTCATCCTAACCAGAGTGTTCTGAAAGTCTTTATGAGTCCACTAAGTACCTTTCGCTTGAGGCTACATACAGCGCAACCATCTGGCTGCCTCTCACTGCTACAGTGAGATATTTTCATTTGTTTCTGATGCCAAACCTTGGGTGCAGAGAACTGAGTTAGCTCATGGTCCCTCCCTTGCTAGCTCTGAATTCCTTTGGCATCCCTTCCTTCCTCGTCCCCCCTTTTACCTTTATCCTCCCTTCCTGTCTTTCTTGTCTTACTTGACTGTTCAAATTCCCGGCTAGTAGCTTTTGCATGTGTTCTCATAAAACAGTTTTAATGCACTAATTTAAAACTTAGATAAATGACTTTTTTTGTCATGCAAAACACTGACTCTCAGCATCTAATTGCACTTGCTTTGTGGAGCAACTGTGTATGAGTTCTACTATGTCCAAATGCTTATATTTCTCATTTATCTGTTTTTGAGATATGGCTTTATTCTGCAGCATAGGTCAGACTCCAATGTGCAATCCTCCTGCCTCAGCATCCTGAGAGTTTGGATTGCATTTAAAAAAGCTGTACAGTTTGTTAAATCGGTTTCTAAGTCTGTGTCACCACAAGTAACGTAATGAACATCTTATGGATAAAAACACATCTATGAAAGAGTCAGTACGTCAACATCATTGGAGTACAAAATCAGTATAGAAATTTATGGTTCACAGATCCTTCAAAAGTAAAGAGCACTGTCCTTTATTATCTGCATTCAGTGGTTCCTCTTTAATGTTTTAAAATAACTTTTAATGGAGTTTATAGAAAATAAAAATATATACTGAAAAAAATTATCACTTATTTTAGTAAGGATTTGGTCCCTGCTAACTCAAATATCTACTTCCCCCTTTTTTTGGTTTTGTACTCCAAACTACCCTTCAGATTATAAACTTAGAATCAACTAGAGTGTCTCTTAAGTGAACAGGCTGTTTTTCTTTAAATGAATTATATCAAATACACATTACAGTTAACTGTCAAGAGAATCTAAACATTCAGCTTTGTCCAGATGACTCTATATATTTCATTTATCTTTCACTTACCAACACAACCCACGCCAGTGGGGTTCAGCTGAAAGTCAGGTGGGCAGTTACACTCATAGCGACCAGGCGTGTTCACACATAGGCCGTTGACACAGTTTATGGGATCTGCACACTCATCAATATCTATGAACATGTAAGATGCCCATGTTAACATCTTTAGTTCTACATATGAAGTGCTAGTCTAAGGAATTGGGTGGACCTTTTCCCCAAGTTATTAAAGATTGTTGTAGAAGACTCAGCAAAATGAAAATAAAATATTCAATATAAACAAAACAGGTTCTGTAATGGTGCAGATTTTATATGTGTATGTATGTATATGTGCATGTGTGCATGTATGTGTGTATGTGCGTGTGTGTGTATTTTTTTTAGTGTGTAGGGGGAGATAATAGGGTTATACTTTATAGTCCTGACTGGTTTGAAATTTACTATGTAGACCAGAAAGGCCTGGAACTCATAGAAAATGACATTTTCAACAATGCCACTTAATATTCTAATATATATGCAATAATCAAATTTTGCAATTCTGAGGAAGAAAAATTACCTGCTCAAGAAAAACCAAGAATCCAGTGAGAAGCTCCGCAGGCTCAGAATTGCTATCCAGCCTGTGTAGAGGTTCACCGTATGCTTTGGGTCTGGTTAATTTTGTTATATGATGGTTTTTATTTGCAAGAATTGTTTATAATACATTTTGTTAAAAATTAAGGAAAAATGAAATATATGTACAAATTCACATATGTTCCCACACGTATATGAATACTTACTAGTTTTGTATTAAATAATGAAGTTGTTTATCTAAATGCAAATAAATTCCATAGTAGAAAGCAAATGTATCAGGATGTACTTTTTCTTTTTTGCAAACATGCACAGCCTAATGTACAGGTCAGTTTTGAAAAGTTTATGTAGTTAGCGTAGAACATTAATGCCAAGCAATGAGAACACAGTTGCCCTGACTCACAATACCTGTGCAGTTTCCTCCTGTCCTGTCCAGTTCGTAACCATCATCACAGATACAGTGAAACATCCCAGGCAAATTGTTGCAGGTTCCAAAGACACAGATGTTTTGGAAAGAGCATTCGTCAATATCTGAGGACACGAAAAATAAGGTCACCTCTTGTTGACAAAGATATTTAAAGTGTTTAACATGGAACAATGGATTTTTCTAAATTCTAAGATATTTATGAGCAGTAATCTTTTTTCTTTTTCTTTTTTTTTTTTTTAACTTCGTCTTTGGCTAGATAAACAGTCCAAATGGTAAGTAAGACATGCTTAATCTATAGGATAAGATATAAAGCAAATCCTATTTTGGTTCAATGGGTGTCTTATACCTTTTCCCCTTTCTGCAGTGCTAGGAATATGACATAGAGACCCATGCATGTGAGGCAAGGGCTTTACCACTGAGCTACACCCTAGACCCAAATGTCTAATACAGTAACTGTTTTGGATTACAATATACTCTAATAGGAAGTGTCGGCTTAGGCAGTGTAAGTAGAATACAAAAATGAAATGCAAACTCGTCAAATTAGTGAAATTTTAAAAAGCAAAAACAAAGGAAAGATTCTACCTAATTCGTACAAGCATTATGTAGTTTGTAATTGGCACAGTGAAATACAAAATGACATAACACTACATATTAAATATATTGGTAAAAGTCTTTAACACTTAATTTTAGTTCATTTTATAATGTGACCTATTACCATAAAATCATTTATAAACATGTATAGTGTTCCTTAAACCATGAAGTAACATGATCCATACCCATAAATCTCTCTGTATTTTGCTAAAATACAGCTAACTAACAGAGCTGGAGGGGTGGCTCAGTAGTTCAGAGCGCGCACTGCTCTTCCAGACGACCTGAGTTTGATTCCTCGTAGCCACATTCAACGGCTCACAACCATCTGCAAATCCAGCTTCAGGAACGTGATACCCTCTTCTGGGCTCCATGGGCACTCACATTCACATGTACACATGCCACCCTACTCCACAACACACATACCCGTGTAAAATCTTAACATAAACTATTTCTACTAAAATCAGAATCTCAGTTTATAAAACCATCTCATGAGGCTGCAGTCAAAGGGCAATAAATACAAAGTAGTCACACTTTACAAGTGAAAACAAGGCACAGAAACAGTAGAGGCAGAATTGCAGAAATAATGTACTTGCACCCACAAAAAGAAGGTGGACACTTTTATATGTAAATTGTCCAGTACTGTGAGAATGAAGCCCACATGTAACATGTAGGTCAGACTAGAAAAGTCATTCTTTTTTAAGAAAACAATTCTTTAAAAATGATTCTTAAAAATTACACTTATTTATTTATTTATTTAGTGTGTGAGTGTGCATGTGCGTGTGTACATCACGGCTTACATGTGGATGGGAGAGGGTGATTTGTGGATATTAGCCCTCTTCCTCCACCATGTGGGTCCCGGGGACAGACCTCATGTCATCAGGCTTGGTGGCAAGCACCTTCCCTTGCTGAGTCATTGAGCAGGCTCCGTAGGTAAGTCATTTCAAACACGACCTTGCAACAGTTGTATCTTACATTTAAGAAGGTCTCCTGTCCATTTAAAATAGTTACACTCCTTTGATTTTAATTATCGTAGGTCTACGGGGCTGTTCAAATTGTGTTAAATGTTCAGCAAATATTCAAATGTGTCTTGCCCTTTGTTGGGACAAGAGAGCTGTCTTCTAAGGAAAGAGAGCAAAGGTTTCTTCATGTAGGTTGCAAATAAACTGTTGGTAGTCTGCCAATGGAGAGAGAATGGCCTCATCTTTGCGAGCACACATCTCACTCTTAAATGAATGACCAAAAGCTTCCCATGTATACTAATGCAGCAGCTGTGTAAGGCAGGGTGAAAACACAGCCTTTATATTACTGGTGCTCAACAATTCTAATGATGCAGAATGCACTGGTAACAGATCAAAAAAGAATGTCATCTTCCCCTAGGGCCTTCATCGACCACCATGCACAGATGCAATCCACACTGCAGACTAGTTACTCAGACATCACTGTCTCTCAGGCGTAATTTCTCTCTTAAGGTCTACTTTCTGATGGTGGGGTGGGGTGAGGTTTGGCTGTGAGTCTCCCCAGTACAATTTGTCTGGGTCTGGTTGATATTGTTGTGTGTGTGTGTGTGTGTGTGTGTGTGTGTGTGTGTGTGTGTGTGTGTGTCTGTGCTGGTACTCGCCATTTCTTTCACACTACAGTAGGGAAAGGGACTGAGATTTGTTTCATTTTATCATCTTTGCCTGAGAGTTAGCTTGACGGGTTGGGGGAGAAGGAAGAGGAGGAGCCAGAGTTGGAGTTGAGGGAGTCACTTTAAAAAAAAAAATTTGTAGCGTTTCTATGAATGGCAAATTTTGTTGAAGTTCCATGGTCGCACAACAAAACTAAATTCTTTTCATTCTTCAATCATATTGTATTTCCTATAGCATGTTGATGGCCCAAACTACGTGTACGTGAACTATGAATTGAATCTCTAACTTGAGAGAAAATCCATTCCCCCCACCCAGACAGATAGCATACCAGACACAAAGCCCCATTTTTAGGAGAGAGATGATGTATTTCCCCCCTCTTGAGCAGAGGTGAACAAGTCCTTGGTGGACTTAGGAGGCTTCTAGTCTCAGACATACACACCACAGACTTAAACAGGAAAGGAAATGTCAGAAACAAGCTGCTTTGACTTTACTAAGTGTAATAAATACAGATGGCTGGGGGGGCAATAGATCACCATTTAAAAACTGAAGAGGTGTGTCACATGTCATTCATTTAGTGACACAAAAGGGAAAAAAAAAGAAACGATTTTTTAAAAAAGGAATAAGCTAAATTTCCAACTATTGGATCTTAGCCAGAAATATTTCATAAGAGATGAAAGCCAGCCTTCCTCATTATTCATTCCACAAAATAATCCACGCTCAAACGGGCGGCTTTTATATGTGCAGCGTGCACTGTGTATTCTGCTTCCAGGTGGAGCCCGTTCCAGCCTTTTCCGTGGTTTCATTGGCTGTAGCTGATCCAACTTGAAAACGAACTGGAAGCCTGGCGACCCACCTTGGCAGGACCTGCTGTCCGAGGCTGGGGTGAAGCCCATTTCGCACTCGCAGCGGTAAGCTCCCGGCACGTTCAGGCACTGGCCATTCTCACAAAGGTTTATGTTCTCCGCACACTCGTCAACGTCTGCAGGGTAAAAAGACATCCCCGTGAAGTTCCAAATTTCACGACACACGTATGTCCTTGCTCGGGAATGAGATCGGTTTTAGTGGCTGGAGCTGGTGTTCATTAATATGAAGCACGGATTAATCCCATTCATAGAGTTAGCCTCTGAGGCCTGGAGATGGAAGCTCCCCTAACTTACACCCCGACACTCAGCTATAATGTAGACTGATGGGGTTTCTTTCAGTTCTCTTTAATACCCACTGATGAATTAGTATTCAAAGCAGTATTAGTAGATAGGACTAAGAGCTCTGGAATTACGTTCATTCATTTGAAAGCACAGCAACGCACTGCCCTGTTTCCCTAACTGAGGCATCTTGAAGGAAATTGGAGACACCATGGAAACAAAGCTTCCTCCTTACTACTAAAGTCTCACTAAAATTACACAGACAGACACTTTTCAAAGACCTTCAAGGTGATTTTACTTAACTCTATAAAGCAGAAAAGGGGAGGAGGGCAGATGTCAGCATGCCCTGAGCCAGGTGCTGTGGCGGTTACCAGGCACGCAGTTTCCATCGAGTTCACTAGAAAGATCTGGGCTGAGAGAGACCAAAAGAGCTGCAAGGGTCCCACTGAGCCCCACTGTGATTGCAGACCTGTTTTCCTGCACGTCTTTCTTTGACACGACATCACAGGCGAAGTCCGGGAAATATAGAATAGCCAAGACTCTAAAGAGAGGGAGTCTAAGTCGGCACTGTGTGTGAATAATTACAGACCTAGTCTTAGGAGTTGAAAGTGTGAATGAGTATCAGCTGAGAGACACCTCGCTTGTAACATGAAAAGTGATTTTAGTCTTGCACATGGGTCTAATGAGACAAGGCGTCATCCTTGAGCCCTGGGGAGCAGCAGGAGTGAAATAGCAACCGGTGTGTACTAACTCTTAGTGATGCTGACTCTTAGTGATGCTGACTCTTAGTGATG